AAAAAGATGACCAAAACCATCTCGGGAGGGGCTGGAAGGCTGCCTCCTGTGTGTGGCCCTGTGCTGCATTTACATGTTCCTCACTCATTTCTACAACCCTTATGGCACAAGGGAGGAAACCGGGATGCAGAGGCCAAGGAACTTGCCCAAGTCCCTACAGCTGGTGTATTAGCTATCTACTGCTGTGTAACAAATTGTCCCAAAACTTAAGATGTGTAAAACAACTAACACGGCTGGGCGCGGTGGCTCTCATGCCTGTTATCCCAGCACTTTGGGAGGCCGAGGCAGGCAGATCACTAAGTCAAGAGATCGATACCATCCTGGCCAACATGGTAAAACCCCATCTCTACTAAAAATACAAAAATTAACTGGGCATGGTGGTGCATGCCTGTAGTCCCAGCTACTTGGGAGGCTGAGGCAGGAGAATTGCTTGAACCCAAGAGGTGGAGGTTGCAGTGAGCCGAGATCGCGCCACTGCACTCCAGCCTGGTGCCTGGCAAGACTCTGTCTCAGAAAACAAAAAAACACCATGTTTGGCTCATGGTTCCTGCAGGTCTGGAATCCAGGAGAGGCTGGGCTGGGTGGTCTGGCTCAGACTCTGTCGTGAAGTTGCCATCAAGATGCAGCCAGGGCTGAGCCACCTAAAGGCTAGAGGAGGGCCAAAGGATGCACTTCCTAAAGGTTCATTCCCATGTTCCCACAGCTGCAGGCTGGAGGCAACAGTCCCTCACCACACAGGCCTCTTCACAGGGGTGTGTGTTTTCAAGTCCTAGCAGCTGGCTTTCCCCAGAGCAAGTGGCCCAAGAGAAACAGAACACATGCAAGAGAGAAGTCACCATGTCATTAATGACCAAACTTCAGAAGTGACACATTACCACTTCAACACATCTACTGGTCACACAGAACAACCCTGGTAGAAAGTGAAAGGGCGTGCTTTGGGAGGTTGAGGCAGGAGCATTGCTTGAGGCCAGGTGTTTGAGACCAGCCAGGACAACAAATTGATACCCTGTCTCTAACGAAAAATCATTTATATAAAAATTTTAAAAAAGGGAAATGGTGTAATCCCAGCCTTTTGGGAGGCCGAGGTGGGCGGATCACAAGATCTGGAGTTTGAGATCAGCCTGGCCAACACATGTCAAAACCGCGTCTCTGGCCGGGCGCGGTGGCTCAAGCCTGTAATCCCAGCACTTTGGGAGGCCGAGGCGGG